AACTTATGATTTATAAAATAGACGCTGCTTATTTATACTGCCAATAACCATTGTTGTGCTGAGTTTTACAGAATTGTATTATTAAGAAGACATCAGAAACAATATCATTGAAATTCTCTTAAACCAAAGCAACAGTTTGACTAAAATGCTTCTACAAAGGATGATGCGTTATGGACTAGTCACAACACCAAGACGATATTTGCTATGCGTTTGCATTGTTTCTACAATCTTTGTTTTTGTTCTAACTAAATTATCTCTCGTTTATAACACAACACCTACAAAACACAATAGACATGACTCAAGCGAAAATCCTTCTATCTATCTGCAGTCACGACGATTTGATGTTATTGTCAAAATGGTTTATGCATATTTCTATGTTTATAAAAGTGAATTACCACAGCAAATACTGCAGGCGTATTTAGACCACTTACGGGTTTGGAATCATTTTAAGGAACATTGTAGTAACATAAAGAAGACATGGTTTGACGGTAAAATACCGTGCAAAAATAAACGAAACCAGTCAGATTTCATTTCATCATTTCATAAAACAATTGATGATATTAAAGAAAATGGATTTAACTCTAGTGTATCAAAAATTCCTCTAGATAACACCGGTTTCCTTATGAATGGTGCTCATAGAATATCGGCAGCCGTAGTTCTATCACAAAATGCCAGCTTTGAACACCATCAGTATAAACAGAATGCCTTTCATTGGGACTATACATTTTTCATAAGGAGGGGAATGTCACAAGAGAGACTAAATATTGTTGTTTTAGAATGGATGAAGATTCAGATGACTCTGCCGTATTTGAAAAGTTTTGTGTTTATTGTTTCTGTATTGTCCAATAATAACAATAAAGATAAAGCGATGCGAAAAATTGTAGAGAAACAATGCTCAAAAGATAATAGCATTTTATATGAAGTAGAAGTCAATTTTACAAGAAATGGAATGCAACAATTAGTAACCCACATGTATGGACATCAGCCACGAACTTATACAAAATTGAAAAAGATTATGTCGAGATTTAATTCAACATACATTGGAAAGTTCCTTTTTATCTTTACAAAAGGTATCAAACATCTTGATAAATGTAAAACACGAATTCGAAAACTATACAATGACACAGACCAGACATTTACAGTTCATATTCCAGAAACGATTGAAAGAAACTTGATATTAGCAGAAATGATTCTTAATTCAAATTCTATACAGTTTATGAATTATGCTAAAAACGCGTCAGAGTGTTACCGGATTGCAAATGAAATGGCAAGACGTTATATAAACAAACCAAAAGAAGCGTTACAAGGGATATTTATTGGAAGGGATGATGTCATGGTTGACTCTGGAGCAGTGCTTGCTATATATGGTATACGTAAACGAACAGACGTAAACCTATTATTTTTACATGAAATTATACAGGAATTAGCTCTACATGGTGAAAAGCGCAAAATAGATTTTCAAGTGCACGCTTTCAAAGAAAATTCACTATCAAAAGGGCGTGCTTTGGGAGAAGATCATTTCGGCTCAAATGTAACAGCTAATAAATGGGCCTTGTTTTACGATCCTCATAATTTTGGATATTGCTACGGTATAAAATTTGTTTCTTTGGAACAATTAATTTGGTACAAAAGAAACAGACATGATTTGGAAGACGTTCGGTTAATAAATAACTTTTATAAATCAATAGTTTAGATTATTATCCGCTATTTTTGTACTTTGTAATCAAATATTTTCTTCATTAAACCAACACATACTTGTTTATATTGTCTCTTATTTGTATGTCCTACAACGAAATGACAGATACACTATCTAACATAACTACACACAAGTTGTTTATCTCAATGACAATATGTGTAATATAATCATATGTAGATGATATCTGATTTCGGATTATACGATATTCGTATATGTATTTGTTTCCGTAATATGAACTATATCAAAGACTTATATAGGTGTGCAACTATATGAATTAATCTATAATAGGAGGAAGCCATGTAGTCCGTGCTTTATTTCTATTTGTTATTTATTACTTATTAATCATTACTTTATTTTTCATTATCCACATTCATGCACACGAGGGTGCTTTCAAGTCCGCAAAATTTAAAAGACGATTGCTTCTTAAATAATTTAATTTAATTTTACATATATGCTTTAAATGATAGTATTCTAATATCGTGTACGAATTAAAAGGTTTGGAATTGTTCTTAATGTCGAATTGAATTGTCGTTGTTAAATTGATTTTTTTAAACAATGAATATCTTTATTTGAATATTCTGGAAAAAATGAATGTGGTGTGGCCGTCTTTATTATCATATGATACAGTATCAAAACGAACGTACTACCCGCTACTCCACAGACAATAAACTAGCGTATAACGTAAAAATTGATGCGTGGATACGTTTTTCATTTTTTTTTATTATTCATTTATTTTATTTATTTATTTATTATATTTTATTTTATTTTATTTTATTCGTTCATCCATCCATCCATCCATCCATCTATTAATTAATCAATTAATTATAATTAATTAATTAATTAATTAATTAATGTATGTATGTATGTATGTATGTATGTATGTATGTATGTATTCATTCATTTTATTAATAATAATTTAAAGAAAAACAAGGTCACAGGTGCTAAAAATAGAAAAACCTTGTTAACACTCTAGCGGTCACATTTTTGCCTCAATCATCATCAAACTTGGTCAGGATCATTGTCTGGGTGATAGTTCGGATGAGTTCGAACATGGGTCATCTCGGATGAAGAACTAGGTCACAGAAGCTAAAAAATAGAAAAACCTTGTTAACACTCTAGCGGTCACATTTTTGTCTCAAGTGTCATCAATTAAACTCATGTCACTTTTTTTTTAATTGTAATCAATTTTCCCGCATGAGAGCCATATTCAAGTATAGTGTATGGCGATAGAGGTCTCAGCGATGAAACAAATGCCACCATATTTGATCTTGTACATGAATATATCTCTAGCACACAGCGGTTTTGTCTTGCCTAACTCCTTACATAATTCATAAACAATATAAATGGTGTACTTACGAACGTTTATCACGTGCTTTCATAATTCAACATTCTTTTAATTCATCCTTTACTATATTATCATGATTTATCATTTGTCTCTCATGTAACAATAATAATAAGATACTAGATACTACTTATATCCAGGATGTAAATACTCCTGATAACCACAAAAAAAATCAAATAATTTATATTGACATATAAGTAAAAAATTCCTTTTCTTATATAAAAATTATCACAGACATTTGCTGTGCAAAACTGACCTATCATCTCATTCAAAGACAATGGCCACTTCTCGTTCTCTGAGTTCTATAACTATCCTTCTATATATGCTTCTTCTTTACTATAATCATTGAGTGTTCATATTTGTTCAGACTTAAGATCGAGCTTTTTTTTCCTTCCGTACCCTCTTTATATATAATCGCACATTTGTTGTAATTCTCATTTTTTTTCGTCGTTTGTTGTATTTTCATTACTTATCTCACTCTTTCTAGGCGTAATTATAGAATTATTTCATGTTAGTAACTAGTATACTTACAAATACGTGTTGTAACATTATAATTTGCTTTATTTTTACAATTTACAGGAAAGAAAGCTACATAAGTCTTTGACTTCCTTTTCAATCCTGTTTATATAATGTTGTTGTATCATAATTGTATATGTTTGTATTATATGAAATAAATACAATTAATTAAACTTAGTCAGGATGCTTGTCTAGGTTATTGCTCGATGAGTTCAAACATGGGTCATCTCAGATGAAAAACTAGGTCACATGAGCTAAAAATAGAAAAATCTTGTTAACACTCTAGTGTCTACTACTGTTTTGATCCAAATACCCTGTAAATTGGTCCGAAAGTTTGTTTTTGATGATTTTTTAGGTCAAGTTCGAATATGGGTCACCTGGGGTCAAAAACTAGGACACACTGCACTAATATAAAAAAAACCTTGTTAACATTCTAGTGGTCACATTTTTGACTCAATTATCATCAAAGTTGGTCAGGATTCTTGTCTAGGTCATTGCTCGGATGAGTTCGAACATGGGTCATCTCGGATGAAAACACTAGGTCACCTGAGCTAAAAATAGAAAACTCTTATTAACACTCTAGATAGTGGCTACTGTTTAATCCATGGTCATCTCGCATGGGAAACCAGGTCACAGGAGCTAATAATAGAAAAACATTGTTAACACTTTAGTGGTTACTGTTTTGATCTAAGTATCCTGGAAATTGGTCTGAAGTTTGTTGTGATGATTTCTAGGTAAAGTTTGAATATTGGTCACCTGGGTAAAGAAACTAGGCCACACTGCTCAAATATGGATAATCCTTGTTAACACTCTAGTGGTCACATTTTGGACTCACCTGTCATGAAACTTGGTCAGAATGTTTGTCTAGGTAATTGTTCGGATGAGTTCGATTGGTCAAGTGAGCGATCTTTGAATATTGGTCACCTGGGTAAAAAACTAGGTCACACTGCTCAAATATGGATAATCCTTGTTAACACTCTAGTGGTCACATTTTTGACTCACCTGTCATGAAACTTGGTCAGAATGTTTGTCTAGGTAATTGTTCGGATGAGTTCGATTGGTCAAGTGAGCGATCTTTGAATATTGGTCACCTGGGTAAAGAAACTAGGTCACACTGCTCAAATATGGATAATCCTTGTTAACACTCTAGTGGTCACATTTTTGCTCACCTGTCATGAAACTTGGTCAGAATGTTTGTCTAGGTAATTGTTCGGATGAGTTCGATTGGTCAAGTGAGCGATCTAGGGCTATCATGGCCCTCTTGTTTTATGATATAATCACTGCTAGTTAGTGATAGTACAGAAGTTTAAATTCTTTACTTGAGATCATTTATATTGTACATTCAATCTATCAAGCCTGTAATGTTAATAATATAGAATTGTGGCCTTATTGTTATCTTTATTTTACATTGCACGTGTTTAATTCGCTCTTTTATCAATAATGCATTCCCTGTGTGGGACATTACTTTATCTCAGGTTTCATAATATAATGAACAGTTTATCTATGAAGTGTTTGTGAAGAGGAGTACAAACTTATGTAATCTAAATCATATACATGCAATGCATTGAACATTTTAAACATTTTGCATTGCTTTGAATAAAAATGGCAAGCAGGTAATTTTTTTTTTGTATACATCTTGAAACGGATTTTAAGTTTTAAACGTTTTTTAAAGTTCTATCATCAATTTTACTACTATTTGCGCAATAGTTTAAGGTGCTTTACCTTAGTTTATTCTATCAAAATTTTATACTTGCAGTAGTAATTTATTAAAAATGAAATTATATAATTGAACAAAGGAGTTTTGTCAGTGTATGTGATTTCGTCAAACCTTACATGAAATATATTTAACATGTTATAATATAACTAATGAACTTTCAGCGTTTGCTCCAAGCGATGTTCGAATAGAAATCATTATTGAATCTTATTAATTTAGCATTGTTTTCATATTTAGAGTCTAATTCATCTCTATCTAATTCATATCATACGTCAGCTAGCATCTTTTTAATTTTCTGAACAAAAAAACTTAAAAATTCTTTATTGTATCTGAAAGAACAAAGCACTTTGAAGAAAAATGTTCTGTCAAAATGTCAAAAATGTTTTGTGAATTAAAGGTCATCATCATACATTATTGAGTACAATACTTAAAGATCCTGTATGTAATAGTTACCGTACGAGGAATAGGTCATCAGCATAGTATTTACAGACCCGGGTGGCGATTTGGAGACCGAGAGAGCGTAGCAATCGAGGTTTTTAAAAGGCCACTGGGTCTGTAAATACTATGCAGACCTATTCCGAGTGCGGTAACTATCTTACCTACATGCTCTTTTGTTTTTCTATCCATACATCCGTTTTATAACTCAGTATTTATTAATATTTCTCATAAGAAACATATTATTTATGTACTTTATCATGTTTAACAAAGCATTCCAAAGCCATGCAAAGATACCATCCGTTACGCTCTTGTAATTTATTCTTTCACAAATAAGGTGTTCGTGTTTTTCGTGGGGTTTTATTATGTAAAATAAGGTCAGGTAATGTTCTGGTTGAGTTGACAGAATCATAGGAACTCGAGAACGGGACCGCAGATTGCGGCGTATTTTTTCAATCCTGTAACGGTTTTTAAAAACGTTTCTGCTACATCTAAATATCTTTTAGTATTATCCGAGTGTATGGACTCAAAAAATATATTATCAATTGAACCCAATCTGTCTCTTTTAAAACTGGTCAAATTTTACGGTATTATAAAAAAAGACAAGGAGTGACATCCGCCATTTGCCGCAACGTTTTCGGCATGAGTTTTTCCCCTTTGGCTACAATTGATTACTATTTTTTCAGAATTTTGTTCCCGTTATTTTTGTCAACTATCAGGTATCGTCCGGATATAATGTTAACAGTTTATTGTTTACACGTGTTGACATGTATTGGCAGCATTATCGCATAATATGAAAAGATATTCAAAGGTCGGACAAACTATATGTAAAGCCGGTAAGAATTCGGATTTATGCGCCGCAATATGCGGTCCTGTTCCAGAGTTCCTATGGACAGAATGTGTCGAGTATAGGAAAGGTATGTCATTATTTTGATATATCAATACATAACATATTAATAATATATACAAATATTGAGGAAGATAAAAAAAGTTTTCTAATCATAAAAACGGAACACTTTATCTTTATATGTAATAAATTTCATGGAAAATAGATGATCAGGCTATTTCTAATATAATTAAAATATACGATTTTTTTTCAAAGAAAGTAAAAGACAGGGTTCTATGAATTAATATTAGTAATATATGCAGATATACCATCATGTAAGTTGGGATTTTTGTTGTTGTTGTTATGATGGCTGATTTTAAATATTCTTAGAATTTTCGTTCATGTTTGGAAGAATTTTCTTTCGGTGTATTCTTAATTAGAAGCATCCGTTATTCATATGTTTGATAGCACGCGGTTTATAGATTGGAAGCGTAAGTCGTATTCTTGCAAAGAACAGGCGAGTACTGGTATACAGAATCCAAATTATAATTTAAAAAAATGAGATAAAAATGAGTGGAAAAAAACGGTCTTATACTTACGATGAACTATTCGCTCACTGAAAGTAATATTTTGGGAAAGAAAGATACAGAGGTTAACTTTGATTTGATATGCGCCAATAATTTAATCGTCGTATATATCCCATAATGTAGAATTGTTAAAATAATGCAGGAGTGTGCAAAATCAGATACAGTTGTGGACAAAAATGCCGAAAACTAGTATCTTATGAAGCTATATAGTTCAGCAAATGTGTTAGGTATACCAAAAAGCAAACTTTAAAGGAAGGCTAAATGTGTACTCATGTGTTGTACTCATTAATATCAGCGAAATACAAACTTCAACGCCAGAACAGTAGCCCGTTTATTTTCCTCACAAATAATCTAGAATACATGTTATGAGGGTCCTTACAGTCGTATGCGCTAATTTATTTCTATTTATTTGATGAAATGTACTTTTAAATATATATCGACCCTTTTTCCTATTCGAAAAGTGGTCATTACCCCTCCCCCTCCCCCCCCCCCCTTATAAGTTTGCACAATTCAGCTTTTTTCAAAATGTCTGTGTTTACGGTGAATATTGTGTAATGCACGAGTTTCCCGACTTCACATATTTTCTATTGAATAGAGAACAATAGAACAAAAACAGGAAAACAGGGCAGACCTGTAAAGCTGTCGGTAAGTTTTGTGATTGATATTGTTACTGTGTGTATACCACGTTTGCAAAAAATATATATGTATATAATTGTGCATAAAAACAATTTTCAAACATCCAAGAATATGTTAAATGTGTACTGCAAATATTTGTGCACATTATATTTAATCAATTAATTACATGCATTCATTTCTTATTGGAAAATTTGACTTCTAATTACCTCTATTTATTTACATGAACTGTTAAATTGGGTGATATCTTTATAAATAATGCTTACTGGAACTTACAATATTGACGAATCTTAATTTGAGCATCATATCAATGAAATAAAACCATGAAAAAGTGTGTTACACGATCTGTAATTCTATTAAACTCGTGCACAGCTGCAACACCTTTACCAGACTCATCCACCGCCTTGTCAAATATTGGTTAGACAACTGTGTTCGAGTCTTTGTACTCAATAATGTATAATAACTCATATCATTTGATTTATGAAAAAGCTTATCTTTATATGATGTTCGCCATCTCATGTTATTTTCCCTGCTACTGAATGGTAATACCATTCGATCGTGTTTAACATTGAATTTCGACTGGTGATTTCTCCTTTGTTTGAACCTAAAATCTCAATAACTGTTACAATAAGACTTAATTAAATGATAAATCATTAATTCTGAGATCAGATTTCATGAGCACTGCATGTCTACTTGGGTCAATATTGCATAAATGTCGCGATTTTGTGTTCTTAGTGTTTACTTTAAAATTCCAACTGTTACAATAATTGAGCAGATCATTAAGGAATGACTGTAGCGCTTCCGGCGAATATAAAAACTGTACGGCATCATTGACAAAATGATTATTGTTATAAATTAAACCTTTAGGGCTTCCGTATATCTTATCAGAGTTTCACACAGGGCATTCAATCATAAACATCCAATCAAGTGAATTGGTATTCAACAAAATACAAAGGCACATCTTCTACGGTTAAATGTTTCATGAGATTTGGTAAAAAAGCAAGAAATACCTAGAAGTACATTTGTTTATAAAATTCTCAAAATGAAGTTACAACTTGTGTTATCATGGGACGAGAGTAAGTAACATTTGAATGCCAAACATTAATTATAAATCAGCCGCGCCATGACATAACCAGCATAGTGCGTTTGCGACCAGCATGAATCCAGACCAGCCTGCGCATCCGCGCAGTCTGAGTTGAGAAACTGATAGCTAACAGCATGGGTCCTAATCAGACTGCGCGGATGCGCAGGCTGGTCTGGATCCATGCTGGTCGAAAACGCACTATGTTGGTTTTGTCATGGCGCGGCTCAATTATGTATGTTTGCTATTGTATAAGACGTTCATAACATGTTTTCTTTATTGTGTTAAAAAGTCAATTTAAGATTTGTCGACTTATTGTTATATAGTAATACACATTTTTTTATTTTTCAATTTTGTTGATTCACTAAATAAAAATTTCTAAAAAGCCAAGAAAATCCACTAAGAACAGACAACTCAGGCGTAGTCTGCACTATAACATCTCGTCAAAGGTTAAGATAGATCTCCTGTAACAAGTTTATACATACATATAGAACTATTTTGATAAGCATACTATTCTACCATTCTTAGACTTGTATAACTAGGCGCACTACATAAAAGCTATTTTCAGACCAAAATGTTAATAACGAACTTAAAAGCGGATTGTGGTAAAAAGATTCTATGTTCATTAAGATTATATTATACACTATTGATGAAGAAAGCTTGTAGCTTATTGAAACCAATCACGACTTTCTAGAAACAGAGTCGTGTCTGGAGTAAGGATTGAACCCAAGATCCCTGGGTTGAGAGACAGACACCGTAATCAGTATCCCACCGCTGCCCTTTATCACACACGCACACACACGCACCCACACACGCACACGCGCGCGCGCACACACACACACACACGCACGCACGCACGCAAAAACAAACTCTGCATATATTTGCTTTTTAGCATTACCAATTGCAGTTAGCCATGTGACTATTTTCCCGATTTAATACACATCCCCTGTTCGGTAAGAAAAAGCCATTTTTTCTAAATATATTCAATCTATATATGTAATTTATTTTGTTTTAATCATATTTACTTGCTCAGTCAATAACTCATTCAATATTCATATATAGTTTCTATATTTGTCATGTTTGTGTTGTAAACCGGTCAGTTACCGGAAGATAATTTAACACTATCGGTTCTGTTACATCACTTGTCTTTTCTTAATCTACATTTTTCTCCTGAAATAAAAGAATTTTTGTGGAATTAAATTCGTTTTTATTAAATAATATTCACATTTAAATGTTCTATTTCCTCGACTTCTGTCAGATCATTAACGTCTTAATTAGCTCTTTAATAACGGAAGTAGTAAAATATTGAACTACCAGTTATTATGAATGATATCTCGTTAATATATCGTAGGTCAGTATGAAAATTATCATGAAACATTAATTATTTACACCATTGCGAAACCAGTGTTTCATTACTCTAGATAATATCCAACATCTTAACTAATTATCAATAATTAATGAATGAGAAAGATAGGGTAATGAAATAAGTTCAACTTCAATACGGAATTCGTTCGTATGGCTATCCCAATTATTTAAATGACTTGCCGACAGTTCATGACAAATACGATGTACAGTCAATAGCGTTCATATACATTTTGTTGTATCTCTCATTATTGGAAGTCATATAGAACGCGTACATTGTAATCTTTTCAATCTTATTTTGCTATTGATTTATATACATTTTTTTGTACCTTAAAAAAGAAAAGATGTAACATCAAATGCATTATTACACATTTTTTGAATAAGTTATTTTGTGACATAAAAGAAAATTAAATCTACAATATTAAATTATTTTAAAGTAACAATATAATTACGTGGCAAATCAAACACACGGAAATACGATATAAAAAAGGAAATTTTACTTTATCCATTTACAGGCTGTCATTCAAAACCAAGAAATATTCAAGGAACTGTTGACGGTAACATGAAGTAAAAAGAATGACGCATTTAATGCTTTAACTTTTTGTGTTGATTGTGAACAATTCTAATGGATAATATTGCAAGGAGTTTCAAAATGAAAACAAGATTTGCTAGACTGATAAGGTTACTGTTCAGATTAGTGTGTGTAGGTTTGTTGCTCCTATGTGTGGTAAACCTGGTTACGTTTGTGCAAGACCGTTTCCGGTCACGATATAATGTACAGCTCCGGTCAAATATTTCCGGTCAAGGAAGACTTGTAAACAACCACAACATTCTACAAGAGCATCCCTACTCCAATAAACCGCTAGAGAAACCTAACATTCAACAATCAGAAAATCCTTCTTTGTATCTCCAGTCGGACAGATTTGATTTGATATTTAAAATGGTTTATGCGTATTTCTATGTGTTTAAGAAACATGTGCCACAAGCAATCGAATATGCGTACACAGAACATATTCGAGTATGGAATGATTTCAAAGAATACTGCTCGGATCAAAATAAATCTTGGTTTGATATGAAATTTTCGTGTAAAGACAAAATGAATAAATTCGACTTTATGTCGTCATTCCACAAGACCATAGATACAACTAAGGAAAAAGGATTTAATTCTAGTTTATCAAGAATACCCATAGACAAAAATGGCTTCCTTCTAAATGGTGCACATAGAATTGCAACCTCTATTATTTTGTCACAAAATGCAAGTTTTGAACATTTTGATTACTCACGACGATTCAAATGGGGATACGAGTTTTTTCAAAATTTGAAACTTTCTGAAACTCGTATTATGAACATGGCCATGCTGGAATGGATGAAAATCCAAATAAATCTACCAGAGTTGATGTCGCCTGTTTCTATTGTTTCTGTATTTTCGAATAATGAATTGAAAGATAAAGAAATGAGAAATATAGTAAGGGAAAAATGCTCCCGAGATAACGGCATTTTATATGAACAGAGAATTAACATTGGACAAAATGGCGCACGCGAATTATTCACACATATGTATGGACAACAACCGTGGCTGGACGTGAAAATTAAACAGATGCAATCGAAATTTACAAAATATTTCAGTGCCTTATTCCTCTTTGTTTATGCCAGGGACAGCAAGGATCTAGTTCAATGTAAAACTGAAATCAGAAATCTTTATAATGACAAAATATTTAAATCAACAGCTCATATACCGGATAACTTGGAAGAAAATTTAATTCTAGCAGAAATGATTCTAAATCCAAATTCGGTACAATTTATGAACGATGCAAAAGATGCGAGTGATTGTAAATTAATCGCAACAGAAATCGCTAGTCGAACCTCGCAAGTGTCAATCAAAACACTTCCTGGAATATATCTTGGCAGAGAAGACGTCATGGTGGACTCCGGAACAGTTCTTGGCTTTTTTGGACTCCGAAAACGGACAGATGTGGACCTTTTATTTTCAAATGAAATCGATATGTCCATTTTGGGAAATAAGAATGGAATGTCAATTCAAGTACATGCTTTCAAAAATAATTCAATATCTAATGAACGTCCTTGGGGTGAAGATCATTTTAAAGTCAGTGGAGTTAAAGACAAATGGGATTTATTTTATGATCCTGACAATTACGGTTATTGTTATGGTATAAAATTTGTGTCACTTAAACAGTTGATCCGGTATAAAACTGTGAGAAACGAGCCGAACAAGGATATGCGTGACGTTGAACTTATAAACAACTTTTTAAATACAACGAAGTCATAGCAATATTGCAATTTTGGTAATTATTTATGAAGTCATAAAAAAGAAATCAAAGCTTATTCTGGTATTGCAATAAATTATAAGAATCTTTTGAAATATTTATAAAAACCGTTTCTTGTGTCAAGGGGGTTGGGGGAATCCAGTATCTTTTATTTCAGTTGGACAACATTTGAAACGTTTTTCATCATTTAAAACTGAATAATACTGCTTATCTTGTATGCATTGTTAATGACTGTTAATGTGTGTACCATTAACATTTTAGCACATGTACGCTATATAATTGGTGAAATGAAGAACTAATTAGAAACACTTATCGTGCCATTATCAATATTTACAATGACTAAGGCAGCCAATTATAAATGTTGACACAGGCTATCAAATTACCAATACATGTTACACGTAATTTAATACAATAAGTAATATGTAATATTTTGTTTACGCACAGCTTGCGATAAAGTCACGTTATGAAAGTGACATCTTTTTATTCGTGCAACAACGCCATTCGTAACTTTAAGAGAGAAAGTAAATGCCTTACACAATATTTCATATTGTTTGATTTTAAAACACAGAAAACTAAATTATGCTTTTTATCACCGATGCGTGAAATGGCGTATGCGTCTTTAATAGTTGGCAAGGGTCGATACAAAAGCATATGCTCTCGTCTCTCTTCCTCAAAAGTACAACATTGGAAAAATAAGTGATGATGGTACTGGTCTCTATGGCTTTTTAAATGGTTTATTATCTTCAAGATGTATTTCATATATTAGCTTATATGTATGTCCAATATCACAAGGTCCAAAAGAGAACACATGTTTACATTTATATACTGTTTTTTTTTCACTATTAACCTTTTCTTCTGGAACGTTTGATAAATCAATCTTGAGTTCAGCTATGAGTCTTCTTCAAAATATTTCCTTTTTATTTCTCCAGGACTCCACAATCGTAAAACATTTTCCTCTTGAAGTTCCCAAAAGACTGATTTAGGTTTGATAGAAATGTATGTCAATAAAGTTCACTGGTATTCGTATATTTCTTTCTGGTTTATTGAGTTCAACAATCAGCAGACAGATGTTCAATCTACCTTTTATTGAATTGTAACTAATCTAAGAATTTTGTCAAAGGTAACTTCTTATTTCGGTTTAGGTTCTTATAAAACTTGTTAATTTCTTGTTTCTAAGTAAAAGTCTTGATAGTGTTATCCTGTCCTAATTAACGTTGTTTATCCAATAGCCATTCTGCTTTTGTTTTGAATTCTGGTTCTTCTCTTTTCAATTACATATCTTTTAACAATATACACCTTTCTTTTGTTCCAGAATAAGCAAGTTTAATTCCATTTGTTTCTCTTTACGTATTTTCCATGTATAATAGTCGTCTAAATGGTTGTTGCAATATTTGCTCATCGTATTTCTTGATTTTCATTCATTACGTTTTCCCTCCCAAAATGTTTATCTACATTTTCTCTGTTTGACTTTTTATGTAACTCACCCTTTTTCTTCATTAAGGCTTTATTTTGATAGATTTGAAAGTTATCATCATTTATGTCTGGATCACCTCTCTGACTCTTTTCATTGGTGGATTCGGACAATTAGTCTGTGACTGATGTATACGTTCTATGAGCCGAAGATTGTCCATACAATCTAAATTTCATATTACTTTCTTAGTTTGGTTTGACATGCACACGTTTTTTGACTGGATTGGATCCATATTTAGCAGATGTTAAGGAAGTCAGTAGTTGTTATTGAAATGTATGGTTGCTATGGAAAGTCACTGGTTGCTATGGAAGTTAATGGTTGCAATTGAAATTGACTGATTGATATGGAAAGTCATTGGTTGTTATGAATGTCTATGGTTGTTATGGAAATTCACTTGTTGCTATGGACCTCAATGGTTCCTATTGAAAGCAATTGGTATCTATGGAAAGCCAGTGATTGCTAAAGAAGTTTTTAGTTGATATGGAAATTCATTGTTTTCTTTGTAAGTCAGTGGTTGCTGTGAAGAGTCACTAGTTGCTAAGCAACTATGCAAAGTGATTGGCTGCTATGGATAGGCAGTAGTAACTATGGGGGTCAATAGCAACTATATGGAGACTATGGTCACTGTTCTATAACCCCCGGGGCAGAGTCATTTTTGACTCAAGGGCTTTAATTTGAACAACGTATTTAGAGGTCAACCAGACAATGCTTCATGCTAAATATCGAAGATATAGCCCTTGCAGTAATTACTTTATAAGGTCCAAGGGCTATAATTTGGACAATTCTTTTGCCGGTCCTAACGTTTCATGCCAAATATCTTTCTAAAGTCTAGATAAAGTAAAATAAAAGAAGTTTTTTTGTGTTATTTTTTTTTACAATATACATTGTACATATAAGGAAAATCAATGAATCCTTGGGCGGGGCCAGTTTCTACCCAAGTGCTATAATTGGAACAAATTTTGTTTAGCTCTGCTAAATAAATTTCATTTCAAATAAGTTTTAGCTCTTGTAGTTTCAGAGAATATTTTTTTTTACTATTTGAGGAAGACGACGGACGCACTGACGGGCGATGGAGGCCGGGCAATTTGTGAGCATTAAGGCTCACAAAGAGCTGTTTTTATCCAACAGCTGCAATTCTATTTATCAAATATCGTCTTTGTTATGGTGTATAATTGTGTACACTATTTACATTATTACTAGTACGTTTTATTAACAATGTTTCATTAACATGTCATTGTCCGAGAAATGATAAAACCGATAGAATCAGATCCACATCATACAGCGTCTGGCATTCACAGATTGGTTATAATTAGTCATCAGTAAATAAATAATTTACCGCATAAAAATTATACTGGATTTATTTTCATACAAATTCATGTTCGCATATGGAATATTCGATTATTGTTTAATAATTGGATACCATCAAACATTTACATGGACTAGCATTTACATTATAACAACACATATTTTGTAAGTAAACGTATTTTATATTATTAGTGTAAATGTATGAGACATAAATGTATAGTTAACTTTATAATAATACAAATACTTTTCTCGAATTTTGGTTGTATACGATAGCGTCTATAACAATGTTTTCTCCATCGTAGACGGTAAACTAGTCATGTGTGCATAGAAATTGCATTATTGCATTTTGTTCTTTAGGGCTTATTTCTACGGTTTTATTATCATTACATAAATAGTTAAAAGATTCACCGCAATTAATAAATTTGTTGGTATTACTTTTTATCATCAGCGTTCGAGCAATAAAATTATTTCTTTTTATAGAACAACATGAGGAATAAGATAATTGAAACATAAAAAAAGGTACCAGTCTGTTCCAAATAACTATAGAGGCATCTCTATAACCAGTTGTTTTGAGAAACTATTTACTGTTTAACTAAATGAATGATTAAAACATGGGTAGAAGAAAATAACATTGTATGCCCAGTTTGGCATAGTACACTACTGTAGACCCTGTTTTCATTTTACACTCATTAATTTAAAAGCAACTTCTAAACAAAAATAAACTGTATTGTTGTTTTGTAGATTATTTTAAAAAAGGTTATGACTGTATAGCAAGAAGTACGTACTTGTGTACATTTATAACAAATAGGAATAAATAGTAAATTCCTATCGGTATTAGATCAATGTACAGCGAAGTGATTTTTTCAATAGTAATCTAGGGTTGTTCCAACAAGAAATAACTTCGCAGATTTGAATCTTCCTATTATTAATTAAAATGAAATGCAATAACAGAAAAATATTGATGCTGCAATAAATATTGATCAAATTGCGATATTCGCTGATGACGCGATAATCAGCTCTGAAACAAGTACTGGGTTACACAAATCACTTGATAGTTTATATTCTTATTATTATAAATGGGACCTTACAGTTAAAATAGAGAAAAAAACAACAACTAAAGTTGTAATTTTTAGAAAGAAAGTGGGCTAAGATGTAATGACAAATGGTATTATGTTAATCATGAAATAGAAATAGTCTTAATTCATCTTAATTTTATGCAAGCGGCGAACTCATTGAGGGTTCATCATTTTATTATTTTAGGGCTTTGGTTCGTAGTATGAAAGTTTCAATAAATATAATGTTTTATCTTTTTTATTCGTATGTAACTTCTTTTATAAATTATGGCGCAGAGTAATGTCATTATATATACAGATTCACAGGATATAGAAAGAGTACATAAGAAATTTTGTAAATGGATACTAAATGTAAAGCATACTACACACTCTCTAGCTCTCTATGGTAAATAAAGAAGATTTTCACTCAATATGGAAAGCTATCTTAAGATAGTCAAGTATTTTCTGATGATTAAAACTGTCAAGCCTGAAAATTGTATACTAAAGGCAGTTTTACAGAACAAATAAAATGTTTTGAGGTGAAGGAATCAACGAGTTCAATAAATTCAGTAATGAACTTACACGAATTTAATATTCTTTTTATCACATATCCAAAATAAAGACCGTTCAAATTGAAAAAGAGTCATTTTTCACTGACGCGCCTATAGTACAACGCGTCTTTACACTATGTTTGTATAACGCTTATGACGTCACGTCAAAATATATGCACGGTTGTGCAATACCATTTTTACGGAGTCGCAAAATCTGCACGGGTGTGTGATAAACAAAATTTAGAAACGCATGGCTAAATTACGCATCCCTTCTCATAAACTTTACATTGAAGTCGGCCGATATTTCAATGATCCGCGCGACGAAAGAAAATGTACACTTAAACGATCTAGAAGACGAATTTCATTTTGTTTAAAAATAAACAGCTTATGTTGGTTTAAGAAGATGCTATATACCCAGATATTATTATACCCACACACATATTAAGTATACTTCATTAATGTAAACCATTGGCAGAAATAAGAAAATTTAAAAAATGGCTCTGTTTTGTTACAAGGCTTCCAAATTAAGGGATTCACTATAGCAATAATAGTACTTAATGTGATTTATCTATTCTTTTGAATTTTCTCCGGCCGAAGGCCAGTTTGTTTTTCAGCTTCACTTCCTGTAAGATTTACTGGGAAGAACTTAATATAAGAAGAGTTTTCATTGGTCATTTTATAATAACAAAATGAAATCTGGGAATCTCATAATAAAATGAAAAGAATAGTTCTAAACTAAAATGTAAAGGATAGTTCTTGCCATTATGAAATAAAATGTGAAAGATAGTTCTAAAATAAAATGTACAGGGCAGTTCTTTAACATTGTAGTTAAATTACTCAGATATATCAGTTCTGTTTAACAATACTTGATGTGGGTCTATACCAAAAACTTATGTCATTAACTCGCTCC